GTTCTTGTTCCAGTAAGTTGACAAACAGGGCAAGATTTTACAAAATCTTTAATAGTAGTACCCATTCCATTCCACCACTACTTTGTTGCAATTCGTTGATATGTTCCATCATATCCAAAATGTCCAGTTAATATGTTTTCATGTATGTATTTGAGTATTGCTTCAGTTTCATGTATTTTCAAAACTTTTAAAGGATTTTTTGGTTCTTTTCTTCGATTTTTCTTGTATAATTGTTCATTGATAACTAAAAAGTGTTTGAATTGTTATTGTAATCTTTGTTTTTCTTTTTCCAAATATCCTACAGGATATTATAAAGTTTCTAAATAATTAACTAATGCTGAATATTATTCTAATTCTATGATTATCTATTAATTAAGTCATAATAAGGCATCAGCATTTTGGTTGACTTTTTCAGAGCGATATGTGACTATAAAATTGTATTCCATCATTTTCATAATCCATCTTGCAATTCTGCCCTATTCTACGATTTTATCTTTCCAAGGCTGGCCAAATATTGATTACATAATGCATTTGTAAAACCTTGGGCTTGTAACTTTTTAACCACAAAAAATGGATCATTTGCTTCTTTCTTTCTTCTCTTGGTGACATCTATAATTTTTGATAATCTTTTAGTCACAATAATTGAAGACCATATAAACCATATCTACCATTATACTTAAAACAAAAGTAATTTCAAAAAGAAGAGTATATGTGGGGAGACTCCGGATCTTGTAAAAGGCTAGCAGAGCTGGGCCTTTTAAAAGGACTAGCGGAGCTCACTAGCACAGCAGACAGGTGGGGAGACTTCGGGCCTTGTAAAAGAACAAGCGGAGCTCACTGGCACAGGTCTGACTCCCCTAAATGAAAGGATGCAAAGCGGAAAAATACTTATCTGCCTTTGAGACAAAAATTAAAAGTAGTCGAAGCACAAATTAATCGAAGAACTACGAAGACCACCTATAAGATCAGAAATAAGAGAAATAACTAATCTATATACTGTATATACTTATGTGAGTAGCACCTGATAATCATTTGCCTTTATGTAATTAAAAGACGCGCGTTCTGATTTTTCAAAGCTCATTATGGAAAAGTCAACACCTCTGTGTTTCTGATATTTTATTAAGGACCGTGAGTTTGATTATTTAGGTATTTCGCCAGAAGAAGCATGGGAAGATCTAGAAGATGCTTATACTCGTTACCTTAATGCACTAGAACAGACAGACTCAGACGAAACGCGTGAGCCCGTAAAAAACCTTCAGCAAATATGGAATGTACGTTTCTTCTATTTTGTTAACTCGTTAAATTCAAACTAACCAATTTTTGATTATGTAGTTGACAAAGAACGTACTCAGAATAACTTTATTATCACTTATTTACAACTGCGCGAACAATTCGCTGAAGTTATAAATTTGACATTATACTTCCTAATGAGGACCTCCTAATAATAAGTTTGTAAATTTGATTGTAGCGAGAGGTGCAAGCTGATTCGCATGATGTTGCATGTCGTACTATATCTGCTAATATGGGGAAGGTTGGAAAAAATGTCATCTCATGGACAAAAACTGCGATAAATGATAGTCAAAATCCTTTTGTTATTTCGGTGGTGTGTATTAATATTCTTTGTTAGTGTTTAATGTTTATATCCAGAAAGCTATACGCGTCATCCAGAATAGAACTCAATCATAATGAAGGACGAAACTGTGATTGTCAAGGAAGAAAGAGGTTTAAAAAGGAAGAGGGAAGACAAATCATATAATGATCAAAAAAATAATGAGTATACTACAGCTATTAAAGCTGTTGACAATATTCAAAAAAGAAACGAGCTTGCATATAATAAGTAAGCTATTTACTAGTCCACTCTGGTGAGGTGTTTTAGATTTTCGTGAGAGAATATCTCACCTTGTCCAGATCTTCCACGTGCCAAGAATTATCTTACAGAAGGCGAGATTAATCGTTTAATGGATACATTGAAAGAAGTCATTAAAGAAGAAAAAGAAAAAATCAATAAATCAGTTGAATCTTTTTTAGAGGCACTATTGCTATCGGATATCATTAGCATCCATCATCTCGCTAAAGAATGTGGAGCCCGTGGAGTTTCTGGGTTGTGCAACCTTTTGCAAAAATCAGCTGAAGAAATGCAGGTAAATTAAATAATTGATAATATTTCGATATCTGTATATTAAGGAATTCTGATTTCACAATAGGACAACGATAAAAAAAATATTCAAGATTGTCTCTTAAATGTAGATGTTGAAGACGATGCAACTATTTATGTAGGCAAATGTATCGAGGAAACGTAAGTTCTTTGCATGTTATAATTCTGTTATTATATATGAGATAATCTAAATTCCTTGTTACAATTAGTAATGTGTGGATCAGTCGTTTTTCCGGAAAATGTCAATCCGAACGAAGCGTAGATATGTTTATTGTTGGACCCTATGCAAAAACTCCTTGTACTATTTTCCTATAGTAAGGATTTAGACATACTTTTTGCCTATTCTATTTCTTTTAATATTATCAAATTTTGTTTTCTGTTCTCCAAGTGGTGAAAATAGGTCAGATGCTGATCGCGAAGACAAAACGGAACGCTCTGGAACTAGTCGTGTTGGAAAAGCATGTGACTTCTTGTATCGGGTATGTGTCATTCTGTGCCGGAAATTTAAAATAAAAATTAGTTCTAATGTGGATTTTTTTACATGTAGAGTTTATCCCGGGAATCAGGTATTGGAGAAAACAGTGGACCAGAGCACAAAGACAATCATGATAAATCGATTACCAATTTTATAGAAGTAATAAAAGTTGCAAAATCACAACACAAGAAACTTGGAAATTCTATAATTGAGCAATGTGGTATTAAATCTCCCCCCGAAAGTTTACAGAAAGGGATGGAATCTATCTTCATACCATGTTTTCAAATTATTGAAATGAAAATTAGATTTACCTCCTTTTTCAAATAAACGGGGATTTATACGGAATTTGGGATTGGGTTTCTGAGATATTACCAGCAAAGGATGAGGACGAAGAATTTTCTGATTTTAATTTTAATAAAACTGATATCTAGTTTTTCTAATTAATACACGTTCACTATAAATTTCATCACGAATTCATATTGATATAAATAAAAGAATAGATCTAATGTTTTTTCTTTCCTTTACTTTTTCCGCGTTTTGTTTCATTTGGATTCCTACGACCATGACCAATAACGGGTGGTCCAGCCTTATTATTAGCTGGACTACCTATTAGCATTTTCGGGACATAATCAGGATTAAATATATCCACAATTTTTTGTTTTCGATGCGCCTTAATCGCTTTTTGATATTCGGGCTGATCTTCGCGAAGTATAAGATTATTTGGGTTGCGACCTCCTTTTGGATTTGGAATAGAATACTAAAAGGAAATAACAATAGATTGAGAATAATTATTCTCGTGACAAATGATATTGAAAAGGCATGTAAATGTTAAGTACCTTTGTTCCACGTAGGTTGTGCTGAAAATTCTTTTTCAAATAATATCTGATATTACCATTTTCATCGGTGGTAGTAGAAGTCCGGATTAATGTCGGACCGCCACAACTTGGACAGAATTGTTTCTCCATATTAGATGTTATCCTATTATTTTAATTAAATATTTATGGTGGAATGTTTGTATTCAAAATAAAACATCAAAAATATTTAATTATAATGATTTCATTGCTCACTTGAAACATGCATGACATCGAAGAACCCAATTTTTGATTTTTTTGATTCTTATCCCTTCAATTGAGAGCAAATTCAATCGCATTTGTAGCATTACATTCTATATACAAATGTAAATTTTTTTATTTTTTTTATTAGATAATAAATCCATAAATTAAGATACTTACTTGCATGGTGTAGTCGGTTGTCATACAAGCGACTTTCATAATTACTGGTTTATTATTCGGGTTAGATGATGAGAAACCTTTTGACTTTTGTTTATATTTATGAATATTATCAGGTGTTATCCAATCTCCATCGCCATCGTCGTTTTCGTCGTCATCTTCACCCACATCATTTTCTTCTGCTGCTTTTTGTTCTCGTTCATCTTCTGCTCCTGCATTTTGTTCATTACCATTATGTATGCCATATGCATCGGGTTTTATTATATTAGAAGTATCTGAAACCATCTGCAGTATTTCTTCATCTTTAATGCTATCAATCTGTTTTATATGTGGCATTTTTTGTAATATTTCTTTATCAGGTAACAATTCGTCGGATTTTTCTTCGGTAACAATTAGTTTTTCATCAATAGATGAAGACAGTTCATCTTCCTTTTTATTATGTTCAGTTTGATGGGGCTGTATTGTTTTCGCCTAGAACAATACAAAAGCAATTAATGAAGAGCACTAAGGTTTCAGATTCCTATCATTGTTAAATAAATGACAAAAACTTGCATGAATTGGCTCTTTTCTAATCCTTGTAGTGCCATTTGCTTCGACTTCTAACATATGAGTTAGCGCCAACACCTTGACATCTACTACAGATAAACTAGAAAAATCACCAGATTTTTTCGAAAAATTAATCACTAAAAGATCAATGTTCAATTATTAAATATAACAAAAATAGCATCAAATCAAAAATGCAAATTCCTCCTTTATAAAGCACCTTCTTTTAAAGCTTGATCCGATGGAGTTAATGATATAAGCTCAAATGGAAGCTGCGCCAAATAATCTCGTGATTCTTTATCTCTTATTTCGGCTAAAACTTCTGGCACTGTATAAAACTTTTCCGCCAAGTGACGAACTGGGGTCCCCTTTATCAACGAACCGGAATCTAATACTAAAGATATTACTTTATTTTTACTTTTATTTGAATTTGGATCATTAGTTGCAGTTTCGGCTATAAGCGGAATGGACATTTTTTGCCTTGATGATAACTTGGAAAAATAATCGCAATACGTAGTTTGTTTGCATTAACGTTAATTCCAGATCATAATCACATGACCAATAATCTTCAAATCGCCAAAAAAATCACGTGATCACGAAAAATTAACGTTAAAGGCTATTTTATCATTCGAGTTAGGGTATGAGTTAGAGTGGAGGACAAAATTATATGTAAAATTGCCTTCCCAATATTTTTTATTAATGCTTCAAGCCAGATTTTGACATCTGTTTTTCGTATTTTTTATATTATCCACTTTTTTCATTTTCTTATATCGAATTTGTTTTGCCAGGTTGGGGTTTCGTCAAATAATGTTCACGTGAGCGTGAAATTTTGTTGGTAATGCTAGAAAAGTTTCTTTAGGATTAGAAAGTTTATGAACAGTACTTAAAAATAGTGCAGAATTACGTGATCTTCAAAATTTCATGCTTATATGATCATGAAAAATTGATATTTGAATTAGAATTAAAATTAGAATTAAAGTTAGAATTAAGGATAAAATTATATAAAATTGCTTTTTTGATATTTTTAATAATAGATTCAATATCTTTTTTCATATTTTTATTTTCTTATATTATTACTATTTTGAGCTTTTGCATATGAAAGTATTTCAAAATAACAATAGTGACTATATTTATGATAATTTATGACTGAATAATATTTATAGTTAAACAAATATTATTACAATTAAATCTTTTTATAATTACACATATTTATAGTTATACCTTTCTATACTTACTCTATTTTGCTTTCATATTTATATATAAACATAATAAAAAAATCTCTCTATAGTTATATCTCCTCTATAGTCATCAGATTTTGCTTTCCTAAGGGTGATGACTATAGAAAGATTTGACTATATTATATTTTATAAGTTCTTAAAAGAGCTGAAAAGTATTTAATAATATTATAATAAGTTATTTGATCAGAATAATTATACTAAAGTTTATTAAGAATTACAAATGAGAAAGTATAATATAATCAAATCAAATCTATATAATATATTAAGCATTAAACTATGATTATAATGAATTAAAGAAAAATAATAGTATGTTTATAATGTGATTAACTAAAATAAAATCTGGAATTTTTAATAATAATATTTAATTAAAGAATTTTATGTAATAAATATATAATTTTATAATAAAATCATAATTTAATAATAATAAAATAATTTTATTATTAGATAAATTTATCATTAATTTATTATATGTTTTATTATTTTGAGATTCTGAAAACTATGAAATCTATTTAAATTACTAGTTAAGATATATTGTTTATATATATTTTAATAATTTTACAAATACTATTTTAGTTATAATATTATTGTTATTTTTTCTGAAATCTAAATGCTTGTTTTATCATCTAAAAATAATGTTTTATATAGCTAATATCCAATAAAATATAAATATAAAATTAATTAATAAAATACAGTTAAACCTCTCTATAGTTATCATTCTTAGAAAAACAAAATTTGGTAACTATAGAGAGAATGTGATTATAAAGAAATTTTTTTTACTATATTTATATGTAAATAGAAAAGTAAAATAGAGTGACTATAAAGAGATATGACTATAAATAGATATAACTATAGAAAGATTTAACTGTATAATAAAATATTATTCAATTAAATTTATGATATGAATTAATCAATAAAATAAAATCTAAATATTTATATTATAACAATATAGAAAATGACAAATTTACCAAAAAATTGTATAATTAATATATTTAAATAAGAATAATAATAAACTAAAAATAGAAAAATAAGAAAGAAAAAAAATAAAAATAAAAAAAATATTCTTGACTTAAATATGTAATTAAAATATCATTGTAACTAATTTTATATAATTATGCTTTTTTTTATTCACATATTTGTTATATTGAATTAGTAATAATATCATAATTATATAATTTTTTATCACTTTTTTTACTAATATTATTATTTTCTTTTTTTATTTCACTATTTATATTTAATTCAATATTTTCATTAATAAATAATATTAAATTTAAATCAAATATATCTTCAATTAATATAAATATATTATGATTTGAAATTTCAATTTATTTATTTTTATCTTCATTGATTTTTTTAATATAATTTTTAATTCTTGTATATTATAATTTTAATTTGTATATTTTACTTTTTGTAATATAAAATGATCAAATTTTAGTTATAATCTTAACTTTTATTATAGATAATTATAATTATTATTTATCATAAAAATGAAAAATATATATTTATATCTAACATTATGAAATATAATATCTAATATTTATAAAGTTAGTTATTATAAATAATTATATTTATTATTTATAACAAGTTATCAGATTTTAAGTATATCAATTAATAAATTATATATTATATTATAAGATATTATATTTAATTTGTATATAGTTAAATTCCTTAATCATGCTATTTATAGTTATATTCTTCTATAATTATTCTATTTTGCTTTTCTATTTACATATAAATATATAAAAAAATCTTTTTATAATTATATTTTCTCTATAATTATCAAATTTTGTTTTTCTGAGAGTGATAACTATAAAAAGATTTGATAATAATTGCATTTGATCAAATAATATTTCATATAATTTTTGATTTTTGCTAAGATAATATTATATTTTTCTAGCAATATCTAAAATTAATGAATATTTATCTTTTTAAAATTCTAAACTTATTATATAATATAATATTAATTATATTTTAAAATTTATTTAAATAAAATAAAATAATAAAAAATATATTATTATAATAAACAAAATATAAAAAATATACAAATAAATAAATTGATATATTAAAATTTTCATATCTTTTATTAAAAACTTTAATAATATATTATCAAAATTGAATTATATTAGTATTAATATTGATTAATTTTTTAAGTATATATTCTAACTGAATTATTTAAATAAAAATATTAGCTAAATTTATTTGTTTTTCTTTTACTATAAGAATTATTATTTTAATTAGTTAAAAAATTATTGATAAATTTATAATTTTATTATAAAATTTATACTTTTTCAAATATTATTTTACAATTTTATTTGTAATTTTATAAGATTTAGCTATCTTTTAAATATAAAAATAAAAAAGCTTAATTTTATTTTTAATTATATTCTATTATTATAATATAAATATTTAGTTCTTATTTTATTAGTTAATTCATATCATAAATTTAATTGGATAATATTTTATTATATTCTATTGATTAATTTCATATTTATATTTTATTGAATAGTTATTTTTAAATAGCTATTATTTTATTGAACAATTATATATTAGATATTATTAATTTTTAGATTTGTATTAATATTAACAACACTAATAATACCAACAATATCAACAATACTAATAATACTTGTATTTAAACAAATTAATAATAGAATTAATTATATTATATAATATATAATTTATATAAATATATTATGTATCTTAGATAGATTTTATAGCAATAGCTCTCAGATTCAATAGCTTTCAGAATCTTAAAAATAATAAATAACATGTAATAAATTAATAGTAAATTTGCCTAATAATAAAATTATACTTTATTATTATTAAAAATTATAATCTTATAATGAAATTACATATTTATTATATAAAATTCTTTAATTAAATACTATTATTAAAATTTCAGATTTCATTCTAGTTGATCATATCATGAACACACTGTTACCTCCCTTTAGATTTATTTATAATTATAATTTAATACTTGATACATTATATAGATTTGATTATATTATACTCTTCTATTCATCATTCTTAATAAACTTTACTATAATTATCTTAATTAAATAACTTATTATAATATTATTAAGCACTTATCAACTCTTTCAAGAACTCATAAAAATGGTAATAATATCAGAAATCCAGAAAAAAGTATAATAAAATATAATCAAATTTCTCTATATTTATCACTCTTGAAAAAGCAAAATTTGATAACTATAAAGAAAATATAATATTATCATTATCATCAAAAGTTTTCATAATTACTTAATTATTGATCAACAAAAATTAAGATGTATTACAAAGAATATTAATATTAATATTATATCATATAACTTAATAATAATTAAATTAATTTATCTCTTTATTTTTATATTGTATCATATTATATAATTATATTTAGTATATATCATTATCTTTTTGATATCTAAATCATAATATCTAAATAATAATCACATTTTTGTATATTTTTTGTTTTATTTTCTTTTATTATTGCACTAAATTTGTTTATTCTTGTATTTTTTATTATAAAACTTATATTTTTATTATTAGTTTATCTTATCTATATCTCTATTATACTTATTTTCATTTTCTTATATCGAATTTGTTTTGCCAGGTTGG